GTGGTGGTGGGGATGTGGGGGGCCGCGTTGGAGCCGGGGCAGGGGGAAAGGCAGGCAGGGAGACTCTGCAGGAGCAGAGAAATCCCCGGCAGCTGCCCGGTCATCAAGCTAGTGCCAAGCAAAAACCCATCCCTGGCTTAGCGGGGAGAGAGCGGGTGTTTACTTAGGACTAAAAGCAGGTGAACTCGTGTACGAAATACCTCATCCAAAACTATGGCAAACAGGAAACCCCACTGACCAGAGAACAAAGAAAATAAACAGCCCGACCCAAAGATAGCCGGCTTATATTTAGGAGAAGAGCTTTGAGAAGGGGCTGTGGCAGCAGCACCCATGGCTCGGGGGAGATGTCCCAGGACGGTGCCGGTGGCTGAACCTGAGCACGGAGCGTTTGGGACCCCCCCAACCCGCTGCAGCCGGGGTCCCCGCCATCCCCCACCTCTCCCGGGGCTGTGGGACATCCCTGGGTTTCATCCCCTCAGCCCCAGCACTGGGGAGGGATTTGGGGGGACGCAGGGTGGGTGCTGCAGGTGCTCCGGGTGGAGAGACCCAGGGGCAAGAGGACATTTAAGGTGGGGGTAGCTGCGCTCCCCGCTTCTGTAGGGCAGCCCTGGGGGGAAATGGTAATGAGGAGCACCGGTGTGTTTTGAGAGGGGGTTAAAAAAAAAAAAGAAGCCTCAACCCACACTCTGGAGCTTTTTTTCCCCTCGCATCAGGCAAGCAGTGAGTTATTATTGTGCTTATCTCCTTCGGCCAGACAATAGCAGTCGGGCTGGGAAAGTTCTACCTCAAAACTGTGCATATTGTACAGGGGAATCAACGGACCGTGTTTATATTAAACAGCGTATTTACATACCACTAAGAGTATTTTATTAAAAAAGGGGGAAGGAGGGGGTGGGACGGGGACGAAGAGCCTTCTGCAGCTTGTTCGTTGTAATTACAGATGAACAGGGAGGGAAAAAAAAACCCTGGCAACAACAAAAATTTACTGCACATTTTTTTTTTAAAAAAAATGGCAACAGAGCTGGTTTTTTGCACAGTGTTAAGAGTTGTAAACTTATTTGAAGATGTTACTTGCACACACGTAGACACATGCAAATTGAAAATGAAACAGGTTTGAATAACACCAACCCTGAAACTGATTTCTGGTTTTATCTCATCTGTTATAGTTTTATTGAGAGAGTGACTTTTTTTTAATATTATTTTATGAAGGTACTGTAAATATATCCATATTATAAATTAAAATATCTTAAGAGACTTTTATTATTTTTATTTCCAAGTGCCCACGTGAATCTGCTGTTATTTTAGCACTTGTGTGTCATTTCCATTTTCCTCTCTGTGTGTGTTTTATAACATATTTATACTCTGGTGCAATTTACTACTGTGTAAGTAATTGGTCTATGTGCAATAAATACCATTGCAGCACAAGCAAGCGTGTCTCTATAGGTTTCGAAACAATACCTACCTGTAATGGGAAGAACAGCATTTGTTTTTCTCCAAAGATGGCTCAGATTACCAATATAACTCTATCTAATGGCTTTTCCTGACACAGTATTGTAAAAAACGTGTTTGAAACCCAATAAGGTTGTGTTCCTGTTGCACTGAAGTCTGCTGACTTCCCTTAAAATTAATGGCTAAAGACAAGGTGTTTCCAGTCTGATAATGAATACACTCCTTTTCTGTAACTATTCCTCTCTAGAATATATTCTTTTTGGTTTTGTTTTTTGTTTTTTTTTTTGCATCGGCATCATCATCATCATCATCGCCGCCCTTTTTTCCTTGCCCGCGGCTCGGCCATGGGCGATGGGTGGCTGCCGTCCGATTGCGGGCCCCCCCAAAACCGCTCGGTGGGAGGCGGAGGGGGGGTGACGGCGGCACCGGGGGGGAACCGGCAAGTGGCCGGCGAGTTGCTGTCGCAGCAGTGGGCGGTGGGCATGAGCCTGCTGATGGCTTTGGTGGTGTTGCTCATCGTGGCCGGCAACGTGCTGGTGATCGCGGCCATCGGGCGGACGCAGCGGCTCCAGACCCTCACCAACCTCTTCATCACCTCCCTGGCCTGCGCCGACCTGGTGATGGGGCTGCTGGTGGTGCCTTTCGGGGCCACGCTGGTGGTACGGGGCACCTGGCTCTGGGGATCCTTCCTCTGCGAGTGCTGGACCTCCCTGGATGTCCTCTGCGTGACGGCCAGCATCGAGACCTTGTGCGTCATCGCCATCGACCGCTACCTGGCCATCACCTCGCCTTTCCGCTACCAGAGCCTCATGACCAAGGGACGGGCCAAGGGCATCATCTGCACCGTCTGGGCCATCTCCGCTCTGGTCTCCTTCTTGCCCATCATGATGCATTGGTGGCGGGATGAGGACCCCCAGGCGTTGGAGTGCTACCAGGACCCGGGCTGCTGCGACTTTGTCACCAACAGGGCTTACGCCATCGCCTCGTCCATCATTTCTTTCTATATCCCCCTCCTCATCATGATCTTTGTGTACCTCCGGGTGTACAGAGAGGCCAAGGAGCAGATCAGGAAGATCGATAGGTGCGAGGGCCGGTTCTACGGCAGCCACAAGCAGCCACAGCCGCCCCTGCCCCCTCACCCTCACCACCAGCCCATCCTCGGCAACGGCCGGGCCAGCAAGCGGAAGACCTCCCGGATCATGGCCATGAAGGAGCAGAAAGCCCTCAAGACTTTGGGCATCATCATGGGGGTGTTCACCCTCTGCTGGCTCCCTTTCTTCCTGGTGAACATCGTCAACGTCTTCAACAGGGACCTGGTGCCGGACTGGCTCTTCGTTTTCTTCAACTGGCTGGGCTACGCCAACTCTGCTTTCAACCCCATCATCTACTGCCGCAGCCCCGACTTTCGTAAGGCCTTCAAGAGGCTGCTCTGCTGCCCCCGGAAAGCCGACCGGCGGCTGCACGCCAGCGGTGGGGAGCTGGCCCCCCTGCCCGGGGGCTTCATCAGCACCGTGGGCTCCCCCGAGCGCAGCCTGGGAGGGACCTGGTCCGACTGTAACGGGGGCACCCGGGGTGGCAGCGAGTCCAGCCTGGAGGAGAGACATAGCAAAACGTCCGATTCGGAGTCCAAGGTATAGGGGGGGTGGGT